TATTGGCAGTAAGCAAAGTTTAAGCATGGATTGATTCAGATGGAAATGCAGAAAAGACAGTTTATTATACGTCCAAAAATTAAAGAGGGGCTGAACATTTACCAAAAAATCCAACAGCTTTCAATCCCCCTCTTCTTGAATAACTGCAAAAAATGCTCTTAAAGAGAGTGATTAGAGAAAATTCTGCAGCATCGACTCAACCAGACTCCAAAAACTGATCCCCAGGCAGCTGTAGAAACAAAGTAAGGAAATAAGAGTCTAGAAGCTGTATCTTGTTGAAATCTGCATGCAGCTCTGAGTAAGGCTAAGAGCCAAAGCTGAGGTAAGGGACACTGGAACAAAACACTTCCAAGGGCAGTTCGTCCTGCAGATGTAGAGAGGAGGATTAACAGAAAATCCGAGCCTAGAAAAGTTGGGTGGTGACGAGCCAACTTACCTTTCAGCACCAGGGATTTCAGGTGCTGCAGATGAGGAAGGCTGTCCAGCGTGGTGCCAATGAGGCAATCGTTGCTGCTGAGACGAAGGAACTCGACCTGGACCACCTCTTCCCGTTGCTCCTTCAACAGCCGGAGGAAATGGCAGCAGCCATCAGGATAAACATCCAGGTTCAGTCTGTTGCCTGCAAGGCAGGGGCCAGCAAGCGCAGGAGCCCCCGAAGCCCCCTCCACGCACTTGTCCCAGAGGCTCAGCAGCTCTACCGTCTTCTGCATCTCCTCCATGGGGTCTGGACATGCTCTGACTTGCCAGGCAGGCAGGAACCAGCGGCACCACAAGGCAGCTGGGACAAGGAGGAGAAAGAAAGATGGCGCTGAAAGAGAACACAAGTGCACCGTGAATGCCTCCTGCCCCAGCCCAGAGTGGCTGGAAACAGTTTATAATCACAGCAAAAGGGCAAGAAGGATTACATGCATGTTACTGAAAGCTTTGCAGGCAGAGAGCACAGAAATTCAGATTGACAGATGCCACAGAGGCTTCTCCTCCTAGGGAAACCTCAGATTTTTCCAGCCAACATCTCAGCAAGGAATGGAGCAATTACCCACCATCAGAATAAATAGTAATATTAACTTTAAAAGATATAAATGTAAATGCCTATTCCTTATGCAGATTTCAAAGTGCCTTAGTGGGAAGCTTTACAAGTGGAGAAGAAAACTGGGACAGGGAGAGCTGAGCCAGAAGCAAAGCCCAGGGGCAGCTCACAGACCGTGATGGGTCCTCATTGAACCCGGTTGTGAAACCGAGTGCCAATGGGATAGAAGTGAGAGGGCAAAGGGCAGCAGAGCAAACATGTCAGGGCCAGGGCCAGGGTTAGAAAAGGCACACCCGTGACACAGGAGCACTGGACTGTGCAGTCAGACTGGGCTCTTGTGGAAGTGCAAACCAGGCACAGAGCTGTGGCCAGCTAGTTACCAGATAGTCCCTGTTTCTTCCCCTCAGCATCCTCCACAAAAGGGAAAGGGAAAAAGTAGATATCACATAGTGCATGCTGAGAAGGATTCGAACCTAAAGGAGCAGAGGTACAAAATTTGAACAAATTAATTACTCCTCTGCTTTCTTAGTGTGAAGAACCCTTCATCCATCTAGGACTTTTAAAAGAAGACACTATCACCATAGCACACAGGTAGTTAAAAGATGAGCAGAGGCACTACACTTGCTTTTACATCAGTACTCACAGACTTCCAAGGACCTTGTTTCCTGCTCTTTCCACTTCCTTTATCTTTTGCAACTTTTCCTGAGCCTGGAAATTAAACTAGCTTATGATGTGAATATCGAGAGCTCCTTGTAAACTCTATCATGGATCAAATAGGTGAATAACAGTTTGAGTGAGTGATGCAGAACTAGAACAAACTTGGCTCTTACTTTCGAGGCCAGCAGAAACAAGCTAATGCCCCAGCAACACCCCGAGGAGCAGTGCTTTTACCGTTAACCTGTGGGACATGGCAGGACTGATGTTCCCAAGGCACAGTTTGGTGGAGACGTCACACTCGTCACACCCATCTCCCTGAAAGGGCAGGAATGTAATGACAAGAACAGGAAGCAGAGCACAGAGGCAGCTCAAAAACTGCAACAGGTCCTCATAGAACCCCGTCGTGAAACCAAGTGTCAGAGAGATAAAAGTGAAACTGCTGCTTCAGTATAAAGGTGAGCATTTCTTACAAAAAAGGCTGTATACAACACAACCGTAAGAAAAAAGATCATCTGCTATAGCTTTGTAAAGATGTTGATGGTGAAGGAACCGAAAGGGAGCTCCACACTGCCCAGGCTGGAAAGGCTTGAAGGCCACAGAGGCAGCTCAGGGTGTGCCGCCTTACGCGGGTCTGTACATCCTGTGCGCAGGCAGGCACAGACACACCGACACACAAACCTGCACAGGGACACACAGACCCGCACATGGACACACACAGACCCGCACACGGGCACACAAACCTGCACATGGACACATCCCCGCACACGGACACACATACACACGGGTCTCGGACTGTCCACACATGCCCTGCCCCTGGCCCCACGCCACCCCACATCCCGCCGTCCCGACCCGCGGCAGCAGCTCCAGCCGGGCCCCGCGCACCGTGTCCCGCCGAGCACGGCCACACTTGTCTCACCCCTCCGGCCCCCGGCCCTCAACAAGCGCGTCTGGGCAGGGCTCGGCTGGGCTGGGCTGAGCTCTGCCCGGCACTTCCTGCAAAGTTCTCGGGAACCGCGCTGCCGGGGTGGGACGGGGCGGGGAGGTGCCAAAGCCGGCGGGACGCAGGGCTGGTGGCCCTGGGCATCCTCAGGGCCAGGCGTTCCGCCGCCACGGCAATATCACGAAAGGAGATTTTCCTGACACGGCCACGGCACCGCGGCCGGTCCCGGTGCGGCTCCCCCGGGCTCCAAGGGAGCGGGAGGCACGGGCAGCTCCGGGTGTTGTGCTCACTCGCTGCAAATCCAGGGAGAGAAACGGAGCGGGGGCTGCGAGCCCAGGAGGGCGCGGGGCTGGGCGCTGCCGAGCCAGCCCTCATCCCACCCGGAGGGCACCTGCCTCCAGCCGCTGTGTCGCTGCGTTCGGTCTGTCGAGGCCCCTCGGCGTGTGTGCTGCTCCCCGTGTCGCCCTGAGGGGCGAGTCCCGGCTGGTACCCCGGTGCTGCTGCCCTGCGAGAAGCACCCCTTGCTCAAAGCTCTCCCTACAGCGCCCTGAAAGGAGGTTGTGGCCGGAGGGCCTGCTCTTCTCCCAGGCAACCAGTGACAGGACAAGAGGACATAGTCTCCAGCTGTGCCAGGGGAGGTTTAGGCTGGACATTAGGAAGAATTTCTTCACTTGAAAGGGTGGTTAAGCATTGGAATGGGCTGCCCACGGAGGTGGTGGAGTCACCGTCTCCAGAAGTGTTTAAGGAGAGAGTGAACATGGCACTTAGTGCCATGGTCTAGTTGACAAGGTTGTGTTTGCTCATAGGTTGGACTTGATGATCTCAGAGGTCTTTTCCAACCTAATTGATTTGGTGATGTCAGGACTCTTGTCCTATCAACTAGTTGCCCGGGAGAAGAGGCCGACCCCCACCAGGCAGTTGTAGAGAGTGATAAGGTCTTCCCTGACCCTCCTTTTCTCCAGGTTAAACAACTGTAGCTCCCTCAGCCGCTCCTCATAGGACTTGTGTTCCAGGCCCTTCACCAGCTCCATTGCCCTTCTCTGGACTCGCTCCAGCGCCTCAATGCCCTTATGGAAGTGAGAGGCCCAGAACTGGGCACAGCACTTGAGGTGTGGCCTCACCAGTGCTGAGTACAGGGGAACAATTACTTCCCTTGTCCTGTTGGCTGCTCCAAGATCATTGAGTCCAACCATTGACGAAACACCACCATGACAATTAAACCACAGCACTAAGTGCCACATCCAGTTGTTCCTTCAACACCTCTGGAGACTGAGACCCCACCACCTCCGTGGGCAGCCCACTACAGTGCCTGACCACCCTTTCCATCAAGAAACATTTGTTTCATGTCTGTACAGAGATGCACTCTGGCTTTGTGGATTCACCACCCAGTGCCCCTCTCCGTGCAGATACAAAATTAACAAATACCGGGACACAGTGTGTGGATCAGCTGGGCTTGTGCCCACCCCAGAGCAGGGCAGGGTGCTGCAATTGGAGGACAAAGTCTTAGGCTGTGCCAGGGGAAGTTTAGGTTGGCCATTAGAGGAATTTCTTCAGAGAAAGGATGATTGGGCATTGGAATGGGCTGCCCGGGGAGGTGGAGTTACTGTCTCTGGAGGTGTTCAGGGAAAGACTGGACATGGCACTTAAGGCCATGGTCTAGTTGACGTGGCAGGGTTAGGTCATAGGTTGGGCTCCGTGACCTTGGAGGTCTTTTCCCGCCTAGCAGATCCTGTGACTGTGCGTTTTGAGAATCACACCCATCGCAATACGAGCCACGACTCTCCCCAGCAACCCCGTGACGGAACAGACGGCCGCGCTTT